CGGATCACCGCCGTAGATTTCTGAGTTCCTTCGATCCGACGATCCCTCTTCAGGAAGCGGTAACTATACCGGCGTCGTGGTACACTGACCCCTCGTTTCTTGCCCTAGAATTCGATCGCGTCTTCTTTCGAGGATGGCAGGCAGTTGGTAAATCAAAACCCCTACTTTTTTTACTGCTATTTTGCGTTTACACTGCAAAGTAATCGATTGCGCAATGTGTTTTGTTTTCAGGCTTCACTGAGCAAATCAAGAATTGTCATGATTATTTCACCGGAAGGTAGTTTCTGCCTTCATCCACGATGTATATCTTGTTTAATTGTATGTTCTTAGTAAAGTAGTGCAATGACCATGTAATTTAAGACAAAGTTAGATGAATGACTCTAATTATGGCGTAGATTTATGCATTTAGTAATTTAAGACAAGAGTGATAAAGTTTTTTTTTTTTGAGAGAAAGGATGGATTACCAAAGTAGTAATCCAGCCAGCTAAATTAAGCAAAAGGGTTGTTACAAAAAAATGGCACTCATCCCCAACCAAGAATGAGTACCCTAGATCACCACAGTTTTACAAAATAAGAAACTTCACTAAGTCTTCTCTCCTACTGATATCTAGCAACAAAATATCAGAAACTATAGCCCAATACCAACTGTTATACAAGATTTTCAATTTTAAACCACAAAGTAGATCACAAAAAACTTCCAGCTTAGCTTTCATTCCAGCAAGTCTATCACCCCCACCACAGGAACTGAAACCCTCTCGGCATTAGCAGCAGCCTTCTTTCTCCTCCTTTCTTGTAATCTAGTTGCACGATCAGAAATCTGTGACCCTATCCAAAATTTTGTAAAAGTCAAAATTTTATTCAAAAGTTCTAATGATCTTCTCCTCTTATTTGTAAAAATTCTATCATTTCTTTCCTGTCAAATACACCAAATAAGAGAACAAATAATCACATCTCTTTCTATGTTCCCACTAACTTGATCCTCATCCTTCCAACTCTTCCAAATTTCTTTTAAAGAATATACAGTAAAATCTTTTTTAATTTTCATTTTGTGTTGAATAGACCTCCAGATTGAGTATACAAACTCACATTTAACAAAAATATGAATATGATTTTCCTCTTCCTTAGAACAAAAACAGCACATCATATCTGTATGAATACCTTTCTTCTCCAAATTTTTTTTTGTGTTTAAACCACTTCTTAAAGCCAACCAAACCAAAAACTTTACTTTTAAAGGAACAGGGAGTTTCCAAAGATTGATATATGCATACCTTACTCCTCCATCGGTAAGAAAATGATAATATGATTTAACAGTGAACTTGCATTTTGCTTCCCAGTTCCACATTCTTTTATCCTCCCTGTGAACAAAGTTAACAGACATAATACTCTTCAACATATCAAAATATTAAAAAACCAAATTTCCAGTCAGTTGTCTTTGAAACTTGATATCCCAAACCCACTCATTATTAATTTTTTTCCTCAAACTGCTAATAGAAGCATAAGGAAACTCTGCAATATGAAAAAGCGCAGGGAACAAAGAAGCTAGTGTGTTTGTACTTGACCATTTATCAAACCAAAACAGAGTTTGATTTCCATTCCCCACTTTAACACAAGTACTGCACAAGAAACTTTCAACATTATTAAAAAAAATTCTTCCAGAAATGAGATAAAGATCTCTTACCAGAATAAAAATATTCTGTCCAGTTTTTGTTCTCAAAATACTTGTAAAAACTTATCTGTTTCCAAAACTCCATTTTATTATCAAACCACTTCGAAATCCATCTCCCCAACAACGCTTTATTCATAACTCTCAAATTTATAATTTCCAATCCACCCAGCTTTTTGGGTTTGCACACTTCCTCCCATTTAACTAAATTAGAAGAATTCTTATGTTCCAAAGAACCAGTCCACAAAAACCTTCTCCTCATCCTATCAATTTTGTCAACAAGCCACCCAGGAAAAGAGAAAAAAGACATCCAGAAAATAGGCATGGAAGAAAGAACAGCATTAACTAGTACCAATCTCCCTCCTCTTGATAAAGACTTTCCTTTCCATAAAGCTAATCTTCTCTCAAACTTCTCAATTAAAGGAGACCAATCTTCTTTTTTTAATTTTCCATGTCTCAAAGGAATTCCCAGATAAGTAATAGGAAAGCTTTCACTTTTACAATTTAACATGTAAGCCAAATTATGTTGTAAAGTCTCATTATCTTCAAGAGCAATAAGCAAACTCTTGTTAAAATTTATTTTTAATCCAAAGCTTATTCAAAACAGTATAAAATCATTTTCAAAATTGTTAACTGTTCTCTTTTGTTTTTACAAAAAACAAGAGTATCATCAGCATATTGAAGGCAATAAACCTTTTGATTCATATTAGAAGGACCCAATCCTTCAATAAGAGAATTTTCAGCTGCTAAATTCAGCATTTTAGAAAATGTATCAGCTGCCAAAACAAACAAAAGTGGAGAAAGAGGATCACCTTGACGAACTCCTCTTTTGGACATAATCCAACTACCAGTTTTTCCATTTATGTTAATGGCAGATAGACCTCCTTTTAAGCACAAATTCACCCAATTTATCCACTTACTTCCAAATTTTTTAGCCTTCAAAACTTCCAGAATGAAATCCCAATCTAGCATGTCATAAGCTTTGGCAAAATCCAACTTCAGAAGAATTCCTCCCTTTCTCTTATTCTGAAAGCAGTCATCAATAATCTCCTGAGCAGCTGCCACCCTATCAATCAAAAATCTGTTTTTTATAAAACCTGACTGAACTGGGTCAACAAGACATTCCAGCTTAGGAGTTAATCTATTAGTCAAAACTTTTGTGATAATTTTGTAAATCACATTAAGTAAACCAATAGGTCTGTAATCATTAACTGTTGAAGCCTCATTTTTTTTAGGAATAAGAATTATATGAGCATAATTGAGTCTATTAATCTCCAGTCTACCTTCATAAAATTCTTCAAAAAGTCTCATAATATCTAATTTAACAGTTTCCCAAAATTCCTGAAAGAAAACAGCCGAAAAGCCATCTGGACCAGGAGACTTATCTTCTTTCATATCAAAGATAGCTTTATGAACCTCTTCTTCAGAAAAAGGTTGTTCTATTTTCACTTGACCCCCATTCCCCCCAAAGGAAAGAGTTTATTCCAATCAAGTTGACATCTATGAGGCTCCTTTTGCCCAAAAATCTGACTGTAATGATTAGAAAAAGTTTGGGCAATACCCTCTTCAGAAGTAACCTCAATATCATTAATAAAAACAGATGCTATCAAGTTATTTCTTTTCCTGCCATTTGCAATCTTATGAAAATATATAGTATTATTATCACCTTCCTTTAGCCAATGTGCTTTAGACCTTTGTTTCCACATTTGTTCTTCTTGAAACAAAATTTCATTCAACTGTGAAACAACATCATTTTTCTTGATCAACTCATCATCTTCTAAATCTCTATTTTCCTCAATAACATCCCATTCCAACAAGTTATCTAACAAATCTTTTTTCTTCTGTTTGACACTATAGAAATTAGAATGTGTCCATTGTTTAATGCATTTTCTCATAAATCTTAATTTTCCAACTATGTTTTTAGCTGCAGATAAACTCTTAGGTGCTCAATTCCACCACACAGGAACTCTTTTTTTAAAATCTTCAGATTGAAGCCAGATTTTTTCAAATCTAAACTTTTTGACAAACTGTTGATTATCCCCACAGTCAAAACTAATAGGAACATGATCCGACCGACAATTGACTACTAAGGCCTTGCTGTTTAGATAAAGGATACAAATCCTCCCAGTCAGAGTTAAAAAAAACTCTGTCCAACCTAGCGAAAGTAGGAGATCTTCTTTTACTTGACCAAGTAAATTTTCTTCCATGCAAAGGACTATCAATTAACTCTAAATCATTGATCACCTCACGAAATTCTTCCATATCTTTTCTATGGTTACTTTTACCTCTTCTTTCATCAGCAGTAATAGTAACATTAAAATCACCCACAACTAACCAAGGTCTAGGAAACCTGGTTTTAACAACTTCAAGTTCTTGCCAAAGAACACTTCTCTCACTTTTGCAATGAGGACCATATACAGATGAAATAGTCCATCTAACACCACTCCTCTTGTTTTGTAACACTACAGTTAGAACAAACTGTCCAGTTAACTCATGAATTTTTTTCCATTTACTATTAATCCATCCAATCATAATACCACCTGAGGCTTCATTAGCGGGCAAAAAAACCCAATCAAATGCACTGCCTCCCAAACTTTTTAAAATTCTATCATCAACACAACTCAATTTTGTCTCTTGTAAACAAATAATCTCAAATTTGTTTAACATACAAAAATCTTTGACCCCAAATCTTTTAACATTTAGACCAAGACCTCTCACATTCCATGTAACTAACATTTTATTAACAGAAAACTCCTCAAATTCAAAATAAAGAGCAGAAACTACTCAATAGTAGCCCTCTCCTTTTCCATTATCCTTATTTTTTTAAGGGGTCAAAATCCCCTTGAGGCTCAAGAATAATAGCACATTTAGAAGCTATATTTTGCATCTGTTTATTGGAAAGATCATCAAATAAAATTGGAACAAAAGAAGTATCCAAATCAGGAAAAAAATCACTTGACCCACAAGTAGACATACATTGAGCTTGCACATCTTTGTTTTTAATAGCTGCCCTTGTAGTAGCTCTGTCCAAAGCAGACATAGGCTCCAGATCCATGAATCTAGAACATCTACGAACGTATGCAACTTTAGAGCTTGTAACAAGCTCATGTTCTGGAGGAGGCAAGCAATTGAGAGGTTGAATTGACAGAATCTCTTCCTCTTTTTCTGAACCAGTCCTCTTGATATTAAACTCCTGTGCTGACTCCAGAAACCAATTACCCTTATCTTCAACTCCACTTATCATAAGAGATTTACCTTTATCATCCTCTTTTATAAAATCTTCTTTAATAACAACAGGAGATAATTGACTTTTCAGTTCCACAACAATATCCTCATTTCTATCACCCTCTTTATCCAGCTGTTTATTAGATAAATCTACTCTCTCTTCATTGTGAAAGTTGAAAAACTGATCAGGAAGCATAAAATTATCCTTCATTTCAACATTCACTTCTGCAACTCTCCCCTCTTTCTCAGCTGAATTTTCAAAACCATCCAGCACATCTGAAGCCCCAAAACTTTCAGGAATATGGCCACCACCCAGATCCTGTACAGAAATAATCCTTTCTGTACTATTCTTTTGATAAAAATTTTTAGCTTCATTCCATAATCTGGCTGCTGGAGAACCCCATGGATTGTTCCTCAAATCTTGTCTAACATTCCAAGAATTTAAATCAGAATCCCTCAAAGATGAAGACTCAGTACCACTATCATTTCTTCCTTTAAACCACTTATCATTATAAGAACTTTGATTATTTTCTTCTGAATTATCCACTTTTTGTTTCTTTTTTTCTGCTTCAACAAAATCACCCATAATTGACATGATAGATACTTCCACATTATATTGATTTTTTCCAACAACAACTTTCAAAATCTTAGGGATATCAATATATTCCAAACATTTAACTAAAAGAACTACATCAACCAAAGCAGTACCTGCATTTGTCAATGAGTCAAGCTCCATTAAGTCAGCAAAAGACTAAACCATTAACCCAAAAGCTTCTCTACTCCACAGATGTGGTGGAACTCCTTTCAGCTTAATCCACACCTGAGCATTTCTTTTTTCAACAACATTTCCTTCCCAAGCATTCCATCTTCGACACTTAATTTTGCATGATCTAAGAGAAATAACTCCCATCTTAATCACATCCTCCATTTGTTTCCAAGGCTGAATTTTAACCAGCACCTCTCCATTAGTAAACAGACGAAGATCCCAATATTTGTTCATGGGAAAAAAAGTTCTCAAATCAAGTTCCAACCTCTCTAGAGATATATTGCCCCCTTCAACGAAAGATATAATTGTAAAATTTCTAAACTTCTGGAAATCAGAATTAATCTCCCCTTCAAAACGAAGAATAGCAGTAGAAAAACGAGGACGCTCACCAGAGACTTTCAACTCTGCTTCAAGATCACCATAATCTCGAGTACCCATGTCTTGAAACTTGGAAGAATTTTCATGCAGTTTATCCTCCTCAACTTTAGATAGCGATCTTTTACCCTTATCTTGATGAACAGCTACCTCTTGGTTCCTTGACGTTGAAAACCCTGAAGTCGTCCTTTCTCGACGCCACTGCCAAGGATTTGCTCGATCCGCTCCATTATTTCTAGGGTTTTGTTCCCATCTGCCTCCAACACCACCATCATTAGCAGATCTACCTCCAGGTTGTCCTCTACCTCTATTGAAACCAACTCTTCCTCCTGTACCTCGACCCCTTGCACCAGATCTGCTACAATTTCTGGCCTCATGACCAAAATTATTACAATTAAAGCATAAGATCGGATCCCTACAGTTTTTCGCCATGTGTTTTGAGCCACCACAGCGAAAACAAAGACGATCTCTTCTAATGACCTCCGCAGAGACGAGACGAGACTGAAATTTTTTTTCTTGACAAAGATGGAGACGGCGCCCTAGGGTTTCTTTTCACCACTCTAACCCATTCGCCTTCGTCAATCACCGCCTTAGGATCAACAAGATTTTTATCTAACTCAATCTCAGCCACTGAATTTAACTCTACTGAGGTTAATTCAACTCCTGGAACAGTAACCCCAGTTCCCAAAAAAGGTTTACTGGGCTGCTCAGAATTGGGCTTCGAAAAATCAATAGGATTTTTTACGCTCTTTTCACCCCAAATACAATGGGCCACAAACAATTTTGAATCAAATTCAGTTAGCCCATTCATCATCAAATTCTTCTTTTTTTTTCAGAAAATCAAAATCATGATAAAACTAAGAAATCAACTCAAGAACTTCTAATCAATAGAAGCACAAAGAATTAAACCAAAAAAATATTACCTATCTTGCCACAGAAAAACAAGAAAGCTAACTAAAGAATCAAGATCCAAAATCTTCAAGAAAAAACCCTAAATCTCCGAAGAAAATGAAAAAGATAAGGCGCCAACGATGCAAGAAGATCACCAGTGAAACTCAAAGAAAAGATCACCGGAGAAAAGATCACCCAAAGAATAGATCACCGGAAAAACGCCCCCAAATCGCCGAAGAATCGCCCCTCAATTCGCCGGAGAATCGCCCCTTTTCGCTCAGGAGGGTACCAACCTTGTTACTTTATGAATTAAGGGGTAGAGCGATAAAGTTTTTACTTAAAATTTGAGTTTAGCTACAAACTTATTTTCTTCTAGTCGCTGCGGGATGCCTTCAGTATCGTATACTTCTTAGTTGCCTCATTTCAAGTTCTTTTGTAATTTAAAGTACTATTGATAGGATTCATCTGATCAAGTCTATTATTACAGCTATTGCTAACTCCCAAATCTTCAACATTCCAGCCCTTATTCCACAAAGAAGCAGGAAAAAAAGGATAATTTCTATTACAAGTCACTTCACTATCATAATAAGCTTCTTCATATCTGTGATTCCCAGGCTTATCCAAGTAACTTTAGTCATGTACCCATGTTTATCTTAATTTCTTTGTCATATCTTCCACATGTGTTCTTCGTCCATGGAATAGATGTACAGGCAGACCAGAAAGACATGTATTTCTATATCAATTATGAATCATTAAATGTGTTTATTTCTTTTTCATGTTCTACTGTGTCTTTTAACTGCTATAGTACATTTACAACTTTTCCTTTGTATTTCAAACAGACATTTTGCTTGTAACATGCTCTGATAAAAGCTTGTATAGGTTTGGATAATCCATAGACAGATTAAAGGCAAATTGTGTCAAGGTCCCAAAAATTCAAAACCCATGTGACTAAGCCCTTCGTACTTGCCCCATGTGACTAAGCCCCAAATGCATGACCTTTTGTGGTTCAGCCCGAAATACATGGCCAATTTAGCACATGGAAAAAAAATCTCAAGCTCCTCCCCAAGATACCCCTCATAATGGCCCATGTCACTTTTGCAGTTAGCCCCCAAATTTTAAGGGGCTGTTTGCAAAATATCAAGGAGATATTTGTAAAATTTTCAAGGGAATATTAGGAAAAGTATATAGAGTTTTCTGCAAAATTTCATGGGAGTTATTTGCCATTTCTATATTTTTTGGGAATATTTTTTCAATTTCTAAAACTTTTAGGAGGCTATTTACAAAATTTTTAGGGGTTATTTTCAATTTCTGAAACTTTTAGAGGGGCTTGTTGCAACCTTTTAGGGCTTTTTTGCAATTTTGAAACTTTTTGGGGGGCTATTTGCAAAATGTTTTGGGAGTTTTTTGCTATTTCTAGAAATTTTAGGGGTTGTTTGCAAACTTTACAATGGGGTATCTGCATTTTTTGTAATTTTAAGGGTTTTTTGCAATTTTTGGAACTTCAAGGGTTTGTTTACAAAATTTTTAGGGGTTATTTACAATTTCTAGAACTTTCAGGGGTTTTTTGTAAAAAATTTTAAGGGTTATTTGCAATTCCTAAACGTTGAGGTTGGATGAAATTTAGTGGGAATGGTTGTTTGGAAAGTTACAAAGAGGCGATTGTATCAGTTGATTGTGAACTTTGAAGGATTGGCTGTGAATCTTAGCTAGCTGGTGTTAACTTGACTCATTAATTTATAGCATAATTATTAAGTTGATACAATGAATGTTAATTTTGAACGTTGAGTATTAAGTTTATCCATTGGTTGTTAATTTAGATTATCATTGTTAATTTTATAAATTATATGTACAGTTAATAGGCATCTAACAACTAAGTAATATAGTTATTTACATATCTATTAAACTTAACAACTAATTGATATCATTAACATGTCTTTTAAAATTCGTTGTTAACTCGTATATTTAACATCTATTTGTTAAAATTAACATGTCCTCTATGTAGTTAACACACGTGTGTTAAAAGTAACTTGTAATTCGTATGTTTAGCACCTAACTCTTAAACTTAACTGCTAAGTAGCAAGAAATTGTTTCTTTCCCCTGTTTATAGTCAAATTACAATTCAACCTGAGATGGCATGAGCCAGCAGCAGAATCCCTCCTCTTTTACATTTAATCTTGAATAGGTGAAAAACCCGACAAAATTTCCTCTTTTTTTATTTGCTCCCCGAAATTGAACTATATTTAGAGCAAAATCATCCTCCCTAATGATTCCAACCCATCAAATAAGTACATGAAAAAGGTACAGTCCAAACCCAAAAAATTGGAATCAAATCCAACACAGTTTATACAAAAGCAACAAAACCCAAGAAAACCATTTCGAAAATAAAATCCCATAAGAAAGAAACAACCTTGTCATCATAAAAACTAAAAAAAGGAAAAAAGAAAAAAAAGAAAAATAGCGTGGATTGGCTCTCTTTGCTGCTCCGTGATTATGGGCATGAGTTGGAAGAATGAAATGAAGACATCGAGAGAGTATTTCATGGTTTCTTTTCATCAAATATGGGTTCATGAAAGAATATGAGGGGTATGCGTATATGAGGAGTTTGAACTGCATGTTGAGAAATAGAGAGGTGGGCATTTCACAAACCCCCCTAAACTTTATGCATTTTACATATAACCATCCTCCATCCGATGTCACAAATCCTAGCCTCCTCCCTCTGTACCCAATCGAGATGACAATCAAGTTACAATTGAGAGAGAAGTCACGGTTTCGAATTTTGATGGTGAGGGCGAGGGAGATGTCGAGCCTAGGGGAAGAGGAGGAAGAGGGAGAGAAAGGTTAGGAGAGAGGACGGAGGAGCAATAGTAGTGGCGGTGGGACCAATGGTGGGATCACTGGCGACATAGTAGTGGAGGTGGTGGAATCGGATGGGGGTGGTGATGAGGTTTTGTGGGGAAAGAGAATGTGGAGATGGGGCTCTTTTGGTGGTGGAGAATGAAAGGAGGGGAAAATTTAGGATTTGGGGGAAAATACAGTATACGAGATGTATACTACTGATGTGGAAGGGTTGAAGCACATTTAATTTGAATTTTTAGGGCTTTTGCACATGGCCCAAGGGTGCAAGGGCTTTATCACGCGAGTTTTTAATTTTTGGGACCTAGGCACAATTGTTCCTAGATTAAATGCATCAACAAGATTCATCTTAAATTAACACTACACGGTCCAAGATAAATTGACTGAAAAAGAGCTTGAAATGTATGAATTTCTCTTTACTGCTTGGATTGCATATTATATAAGTTCCTTTTAATCCTCACAAAACTAATTAATGAAACAACAGATTGGGAAATGTAGAGTTTGTGATCTGTCAGGATATACATGGAGAACTCCGTGCTTTCCACAATGTTTGTCGCCATCATGCCTCTCTCCTTGTCCGTGGAAGCGGGCAAAAATCTTGCTTTCAATGTCCTTATCATGTGAGTTTCTACAAAGTTGAATGGTAGAGTCTAAAGAACACATTTAGAAAATTCAACATATTCATGTTTGTAGTCACCCTATCCTGTTTTATATCAGCAATCCTTTCTTGGATGTTATTTACTTATTTAATACTTTAGACAGCTCAGCTGCTTTCATAACATATATATCTAGCTACCTGGAGCTTTATGTTCAGAATTCCTTATGAAATTGTGAAGATGATGACCGATATTCCACATTCATTTCTGAAGAAAAATATTACTATAGTTTTCATGCAAATTTATTTAATATTTTTTCTAATGTTCGTATGTTTTATGAGTTTATTTCTAATGTTCGTATGTTTTATGAGTTTATTTCTAATGTTCGTATGTTTTATGAGTTTATCTCCCTTGAATTTGTCCTTGTTTCTTAGGGGTGGACTTATGGCTTAGACGGAGAACTGCTTAAGGCTACCCGAATCACAGGAATTAAAAACTTCAATAAAGGAGTAAGATGCAATTATACACTTAACATCCTTATCGTCCTTATTTCTTTGTTTGATTCCAAGTATATAGGTATTTTCATCATTTTTGTTCTACCATGGAATACAGGACTTTGGCCTTGTACCCTTGAATGTTGCTACTTGGGGACCTATTGTATTGATTAATATAGATGGGGAGATCCTCCCTCAGCAAAATGCAGCTAAAGAGACAGTGGAAAGCACATGGTTGGGGAGTGCCTCAGAAATATTGAGTACCAATGGAATTGATTCTTCACTGAAGCATGTCTGCAGGCGTGAATACACTATTGATTGTAATTGGAAGGTTCGGTTTCACACAATGCCAATATTTTTCTTTTCTGGTTTGTCTCCATTCCAGAGCACAGATTATTAAAGACATGTAACTTGTTCCTTTGCTATCATGATTCATGTAATGCCCTTTCGTCTCTTGATGTCATGCAGGTCTTCTGTGATAACTATTTAGATGGTGGTTATCATGTCCCATATGCTCATGGAGGTCTTGCATCTGGTCTTAAGCTTGACTCTTACACTACTGATGTACTGTCACTAAAACTCTAATCGTAATTTCGCCAATTATAATATAGTACCACACACATATGTGAAAGATCAAGTGAAATGACAGTGGTGTTCCTGATTTCAGCATTAATTTCTGTTAGCTGCTGCAAATGTTAGATAAGTGTTGTGCATTGACGATCTATTGTGGTTTAGCTTAAAATAGTGCATCTTTGACCGTGCTTGCAATTTTTTGTCTTCCTTTTATTGTATATTTTGTAGCCTTGCTTCCTCTTATCTCCCTCCGAAATTTTCTTTCTGTCTAGGAAATGTTTAACCCATGAGACAAATTTTGTTAGTGGCCTTTCCAGTCATTGTGTGCATATTTAAGTCTTATTGGTAGCACATTTTCATGGCATATAGTATCATCCTGTACCTGACTTCTTACATAGATTTTTGAGAAGGTTAGTATTCAATGGTGTGAAAGTGATTCCACAGAGCGAGATGACTTTGACAGACTTGGATCAAAAGCACTCTATGCTTTCATTTATCCGAATTTTATGATCAACAGGTATGCTACTGCTCAAAAAGTTACCCATCGTCAGATTATATGCTAGATGGTAGCTCTTATATCTTTTGTTTATACACAGATATGGCCCTTGGATGGATACTAATCTGGTATTTCCCCTGAGTGCAACAAAATGCCGAGTGATATTTGACTACTTTCTTGATTCTTCTCTACTGGTAACTGCTGGTTGCAGTATTTTCTTTCTCTAACCAAGCCAATAGCTCCCATAAGCCTAGCCTTGCTTGTAGATTGTTTGATCTTAGTGGAAACTACTAATTATTGCTTCTCTCTATATAGTTAAGCCTCTTGAATGTTGCTAATTGTTACTTAGTATCCTAAGATACAGATAATTTTTCATGCGTTTCTTTGATTTATCAATGAGGGTTGTGCTGTTAAACTAAGCTAATTATAATAGTGTTCAACCTCTCCAGGACGAGAAGGTGTTCATTGGGAGGAGTTTAGAGGAGAGTGAAAGAGTCCAGGTGAATAAACCTAGTAAAATTTTCTTTCTTTATTATTTCTTAGTGACTTAACATCAATGTGCACTCTGTTGCAGATAGAAGACATTGCGTTATGTGAAGGTGTTCAACGAGGCTTAGAATCCCCAGCTTACGTTTTCGGGAGATATGCACCCTCTGTTGAGAAGGCCATGCACCATTTCCATTGTCTCTTGCATGCCAATCTAAAGTGATCATCAAGTCACATGAATGATAAATGAGTTACTGTTTGAGTATTAAAACTTCTAAACATTTTTCCTTTTCCTCAACCGTTTGTATGTGTGGTGTAAAATTTTTTATGTTTGCAGTCAATACGTTTTGCTTCTATGTGCGCGTGTGGTTGTTTTCTCAAATTGTAAGAAACCAATTTCCCCATTACAAATGCATTTCCAATGATTTCCGAGTGTTTCTAAAAAAAAGTTGTACATGTTGGTTTCGGCTTTAAATTCAAGAGTGGAAACTGGTTTTATGAGAAGCGATAGTTTGTTTAAACTGAAAATAGAAAGCCGAAGTTATAGGAAAATGATATATTTTGATGGAAGTTGATAAAAATTTTGCATTTTCACCCACTTTCCCCCTTTTCTTATTTCAAGGTAGGGTATGTGTGGTTCGCTGGGGAAGGATGGAAATGGATTAGTTGATGTGATCTTACATTTGGAGAAAGCACTTCCCTGTAATTTATGCAGACTTACACGTAGGTATAGGAAACAATAAGAAAATGATTATTTTAGATGGTGTCAGATGCTTACCAAATTTCCAATCCGTTTAAAAAAAAAACTAATGTATCCAATTTGAGAGGATAATGATGTGTTATCTAACAAAGCCGCGCAGGCCTACGCTGAAATATATATATTGGAATAAATTGGAAGATTCAATTACTGCTGCTGTTATTTTGACCTGTAGTTTGATTCTGTATTTCAACTCATTTTGCTTTTAATTCCCCCCTCTCTGAGCATGTGGATTTATATCAGAGTTCTTAGCGGCATTTGGAGTTCAGACTGATTCTTTTGAGAGCGAATGTTTATACAACGAGTTTATGTTCAGATTATTATCAATAGAATGAATAATCTATGAATGTTATTCTACTGAGGTTTTGAGTTTTGACGTAAATGTTTAGCTCAGACTGCTGCTCTCATGAGCGTATGATTGTTTAAATCTTGAACTGTACAATAACTGAAAGTGTTGATTGGACAATCTTTGTTTAAAGTTTGCCTTTACTGGTTCTTCCTCAGGTAGCGTACACGACAAAAACACAGTATATCATATTCATCCTTGGACAGATTAAAAGAACTACGAAAGGAGAATGTTAATGATTAACTGCGTACCCTTCAAGAGCATGCATGGTATATTCCACTTCAAATTAAATAAAGGCGATTAATTACAATCTTGCTTTAAAAAAAGGTGTGAAGTATAAGAAGCATATATGAATTGATCATTGGATAAACGAAAAGTTTGCATTAACGTGCATGTATAAAATGTACGATTCTTCTCCACTTACAAATAGAAGAGGGGGCGGAGGGGGGGGGGGTGCTCGTATCATCTCATATAGACAAGGTTATGATACACTTGTAATGGTTAGCAGAGTTTCCTTTGGTTAGAACTTATATACGTCGTCAACTCCCGTAGTCTTCCTACACATGGTTCCTTTTAGCTGCACCATGAATATGAATATGTCAGCTACCTTGCCTTTTCAAGTATATTGCATAAATCTAACATATGTAAATTCTGCAATGATAAACAAGATAATTATCAAAACCTTTGCATCGAAGGCAAGAACAGAACCGGAAATAGTCCTTAAATTGAGTCTGAGGCACAGGAATGAGCTTCCCAATAACAGCTAGAGGCCAGCTGAAATAAGTAAACAAAAACAGATTAAAATACAAAAATACAATCAATCCTCAGTACCTATCCTATTTGCAGCTTGTGATACTGCTGTCAGGACCATGAGGAACCTCAACAGTACTAGTTTTGTTGAAGACTACACCAAAAGGTTATTCATACAAACAAAAATCATTGAGTACTATAATATGCGGTTGTCAACCTTGTCAAGGTTCTCCCAAGAGCAAAGATCTATAATATAATATATGCAGTTGTAAACCTTGTCAAGTTGTTGGTAAGGTAACAAGCAAAAACTTACCTTACAAAACCAATGGCAAGGGAAACTAGCCACAATTTCCAGTTAAGCCTGACTGTTGAAGTAAACTTCCCAAGAAACTCAATAATCAATACCTAGTACAGGAGAGGCATCGGAATTGGTTAGAACCAATGGCTAAGATATTTACCCAGGTTGAACAAACTAAACTTGTTTTCACCTGAAGCAGAATAGTGATTCCAATTATCCCCATGAAAAGGTGGTTTCTTGTGATTCCTTTAAAAACATTCATTTCATCTGGTTTCCGAGCATTAAACTCATTGAATACCTATTAAAAAAGTAAGTCAGATCCTAATGATAATTAAAAGTTAAAAAAGACATCATATGCCCATGAGAATACTCTGAATGAAAAAGTGCCATCTGGAGCACATGTAGCCTAGCTCATCTCTCTATCTATCAATATAAATAATATACACACGTCCTTGTGTGTGTGAGATTACTGATTATGAGTTGGCAGCGTATTTTGTTAAACGAGCTAACAAGAGACAGAAGGATGGTGAGATTTACCATTGGAAGTGAGTAGGAAGTTGGACCTCACCACTAGCATATCTCTTGGTAGCTCATTTAGCAAAACAAGTTGTCACCTCATACCCATCCTCTCCTTTATATATACATGTATGTACAAATGTATGAATGTTTATGCACAAGTAATACATATATGTATATAACTGTATGCCAGAATGCTCCATACACAAAAGGAAAGTTTCTGTAGAGTTGTTAAGGTCGTTTCATTTAATCAGATTCAGATTGAGGAAGGAACCATCAAATTTACCTGACAGAAGACGAAAGTATTAAAAATGAAAGTGTTTTTCACTTTCTCTGCATGCTCTGCAGTTTCACGATTCAAATGTAGCACACTTTTGCCACAGAAATCGAGACTAAGGAGCACAGCCACTTGAAAAAGAGCCTGCAATTGCTCAATCACAACTATTCAATGAAAAACAGTGCCAAAGAAACATACTATATATATCTGGGTAAGTAGAAGAGTAGAGGGTGCTCGCACACAAAAATAGAAGCTAGATGTACCTGTACAAATAAATTTCTCCACATGATATTGGTAACGAGAGGCTCCCTGACAGTTTGCAAACAAAACTTTTTAGAAAGTGAAACATCAAGTTTGCTCAGAGACTGCAAAGTGATAAGCGCACTGAATTTGCACAAGGACTACATAGTGAAATATACACAGAACCATGTCACTGAGACAAAAAGGAAGGGGCCATTAAGTTCATTCATAAAGAAAGTGTGCCTAAGAAAAAACATAATGGCCTTTATTAGTGAAAACCACTCCACATATTTGATTGATATGTCCTAGCCATAGACAACCATGTCACTGAGACAAAAAGGAAGGAGCCATTAAGTTCATTCATAAAGAAAGTGTGCCTAAGAAAAAACATAATGGCCTTTATTAGTGAAAACCACTCCACATATTTGATTGATATGTCCTAGCCATAGACAATCTCACTATTTGATGAGAGAATATATATGCAGACCCTAATGTTTTATACTCAACACACTGAACTCAAGTAAACAATATAGAAATAACAATTTTCTTTATATTAATGAGCTCAAATTTAGCATACATCAATAGTAGTTTTGTCTGGCAATAAGTAATTAGACGCAAAATTACAACCTGTTCTAGTGTGGACCAGCCAAAAAAACCTCATTCAATACAAGCCGGTCTAGTGAGGACCAGTAAAAAAACCTCATTCTTAGGACAATGACAAATATAATAAAACCTTGTATAATGATTGGACGGTCAGGAGTGTGTAGAAACAATTTGACTGCCACAGTAGCAGCATAAATGATTGAACTTGAAATGTCACAATTTAGAGTGGTTCCATTGAGAACGACACCTAAAACAACTACAGCTGAAAAAAGAGACTTTTGAAAAAAAAAAAATCAAAACACAAATATGTAGATCGCAGATTGTAAGTGAGGTTGAGAAGATAGACTAGCCGCTAGAGAATCAACTGGACCACCAGCTAAAGGGCAGAATGGACAGCTTAAGTCACAGCAGCAAAGTAGGTTATATTCTCAAAACAAAGCCTTTAAACAGTTACATACAAATGTCATAATGTGAAATTGCTTGAGTCAGTCTATCAATATCCAGAGTATTTGGAAATTAACATGGGAAGATACTGTTTTTATTGTTCTGATATAGACATGTAATTCAAATACCATAACATTTGGTGCTATTTTTATTATGCATCTTTCAACAGCTGTTACTTTCAATAGCTTATGATTTTATAGAAACTGGTCTCTGAGTTTCATGGACATAAAAGGAATGGTTGCGATTCCGAAACGCTCACATTAAGAACCTAAAATAGGTTAACCTGATAGAGAGAAGATTTCCACTCTAGGACAATTTTTTTTAAGTGAAGTAGTCAACTCGATCAGTTTGACATGAGCTCCAAACTCCCTGACTATTTAGGCCAGTGCTGAATGCATGTATCCAGACAGACACACATGCGCACACACATGTATATTTCCGCATAATTTGATTATGCAGCTATTACGAATTATGCCCCACCCAAGTGCACACATAACGTATTGCATTCTAAAACATCGCCAGTTAATTTATTTTGATCACATGCATGCTGGTGTAATTTACGAGTATGAGTAATAACCGGTTGTGCTTTCAGTTCAAAGCTCAGATTATAATCTCACCAACAGTTTCTTCTATCAGAAATATTTGAACACTTAATGTCTATGACACGCCAATTACACCCCTTTCCCAGCTAAAATCTTTTGATAACATACAATATTTTTAACAGACCATAAATCAGGTAGTGTACTGCAGTATGTGTGCGCAGACACCAATTACAATATATACATGTGTATCAAACCTTTCTTACTTGAAGAAATACAAGGAATATGCAAATCAAAATTTTCTTACAGATTTGCCTTCAGGGAGAATACTCATTTTGCTGTTAAGTAGCATAATATTTTTTTGAGTTCAGATATATCACATATACCCTTCAAATCCTTCATATGCTCGAAAGCATCGACTACAGTTTGGAGGACAGGTTCCAAACATGGTCCTTTAAGCGATTCCAAGTACGAGAGATTTGAGGGTATATGTTCAGAAAATCCTTTTTTTTAAAGAAAACTTTTTATATAGTAATCAGAGACATTAGTGTAGAAAAAAAGGGGGGGAAGGCCGTAGGAAGAACTGAACCTCCGTCCAACTGGGGGTCTTTTCATAAGCTTGTCAGTTGGTGGCTCGGTTGCCAACGCAAGAGCTCCAAGGGAATCCATGATGAGGTTAATCCACAGAAGCTGTTTAGACACAAAAGTTCAGGCAACAACAAACTTTACAAAGGACAGCATGTTTATGCATCAATTCTAGAAGCCAGATTAGGCAGGTTACACCATTAATGTCATATGTCCCATGACAGCATTACTCCTTTCGACTAGAAAATTTAAGGATAATAAAAAAATAGTTTCCTTTTGCTACATAGCAACAGAAGAGGCTAGCCATAAGCAGAAAGAATAATATCCATGTCCACTTAAGTGAGGCTCAAACATTTACATGACCATATTTCATTTCATTTTTTTTTTTACTTCAGCATGGATTAAAGCAGGTAAATAAAGCAGCGCATAGAACATCCAACCTGGACAGCATTTAAAGGTACATCACCAGATGAAATGGCAGCTACAACATTTATCACAAGTGCTGCAACGTTCACTGTAAGCTGAAACTGGATAAATTTTTGAATATTTGCATACACAGAACGGCCCCAACGGACTACCTATAAAATAACAGAAAAGAAAATTTATCCATATTTTTAATATGTATATTTACACACATGCACGTGCACACAAGCAATGTATATACAACTTCAAATAAAAAACAAACCTTGACTATTGATGCAAAATTGTCATCCAGTATAATGATATCTGAGCTTTCTTTTGCAACTTCTGTTCCCGCTATTCCCATTGCAAGACCTATGTCAGCCTAAGTAAGAAAGAGGAGGAACTTGATTATGGGATTAAATACTAACAACATCTTTAAGTAGCTAACTAAGAATAGTGTAGATGGCAGGGGAAAAAAACATATACCTCATGTAAGGCGGGAGCATCATTAGTGCCATCACCGGTAACTGCAACCACATGACCTTTTCTCCTCAACGATTGCACAAGTAGAAGTTTGTCATTCGGGGAAGATCTTCCCATCACCTATACATAATTTTCATATCACACACCTTTCCGCATATTAAGGATGTGTGCATGCACGCAGAGAGTTTTGACTAGGATGCCCCTCATGTGTGAGCACATGCACACACGTGCATGACAAAATAATGTGGAAAATGTGGCAAGAAAAACTTCTTTGTCATGTGACATCCTATTTTAAGTTGCTAGGTTCTTCTTGATTAGACATCAATACCTAATAAATAATATAGCATGACTTGCAAATTCTTGATACGAAATGACCCATTGCACTAGTACAAAATCAGATGCAGGTTTGTTTTTATTCCTGGTCTTCGATTTTGCCCCCAAAAAGGTTCAACTATAAACAAGCTTAATGTTGGTAGTGCACATAATACAGATGAAGGGTAATAAAACTATTAGTGATTTCCCACAACAGGAACACATGATTTGTAATTAATTCAAAGATGTGTTACATTGGCCTAAAATAATATATTTCAAAGCTCTAGTCTATTTTTACGATGAAACTGTTATAGGAAGGCAAATAATTTGAAGTCATCCTAAAATGGAGTCAAATAGGGAGTTGAATATCTGCAATTCCAGCTCAACTGGGAGTCAAACGCCAACAAGTTTCGCATTAGACTCTTAATAATATTAACAATGATAGAACTGGCATTGAGAGCAGACAGATTAGATGCCTTCCAGCGTGTATTATTACTTTGCTTGCAGCCCGAAGATGACATTGCTAGTTATTGCTTGCTTCCTCCATCACAGCACCAGAGACCATGGAAAAGTCTAGTTTTCTAAGTATTTGCTTTCAGTAAGTTTATATTTGGTTTTTTATTAGTTAACAAAACATGCAAAATGCTGAGGTCTAATAATGATATCAAGCAAATTATTTGTTTTGATATGTCCTTATCTGGCTAAAATTAATAAATTTTATATTCATTTGGTTACTCAAGATATTCATTCGTTTTCAACTTTGCATAAGGGTGCATATTACATGGAGTTAAGATGTATCACTCATTTTGTCACGCCCCCCACCCCCCCAAAAAAAAAGAAAAAAAATATCACACACAAACAACACACATGCACACACAGAGATCAACTTCAAGGGTATCTCATTCAAAAGTCGACCTGAACTACATGAATAGTTAAATGGGTACAGCAAATATAGAAATCAACACAAACACATGGCTCTCCCAGTCTGAAGATGAAGAACTTGACATGACGAAGATACAGATGACCAGTGCGTATTCTCTCCATTTTCTGGTAACTCTCTTCCTAGTCTAGCTTGATTTCTCCATTGAGTGACCTTCTCAATTTAGGGCTTTAAATATTAGAGTTAATAGTAATTTGGTTTGAGAAATCTAGGGTTGTTTTTCATGAGAATATTATATTCTAATGATTAACTTATACAATATTTTTAGATTTCTTCCTATTCTAGCTTGATTACTCAATTGAATGTCCTTCTCAATTTAGGACTTTAGAGATTGGTTAAGTAGGATTTTGGTTTGAGAAATCTAGGAGTTGTTTTTCCATGAGAATTTTAGATTCTAATGATTAACTTAAACGGTATTTTTGGATGCTTACTTTTAGGGCTTTCCAAATAATGCTTTCTAAATTTTGGGGTTTTCCAATTTAGTTGTCACAATAATTATAGTGTGTCTTTTTTCTGATGCTAGTTAATCTAGCGAATGTCGAGGATTAGTCTTCCATGATCATTTATTGCATGTTAAGGATTTTTCATGATATGCAAGGCCTCCTTCTCCCGAATAGTTTTGTGAGTATAGGATTTCTTGTAATAAACGAATATCTTTACGGCAATAATTTGGCAGATCATGTTATATTTTCTTATAGAAACTGTACAAACATACAAATACCCATAACATAATATAATAAAATGTCACGTTAGTTGTGCCCTGTATCCTACTAGTTAGGAATTTACTGTGTTGGCATGTTAGAGTTGACATATCTGTATTCCCTGTCAATGCTACATTGGTTGTTAGTTGTTACCGATATAGGCTTGTGCAACGGAAGCAAATTGCGGATTGACATTGCCAGGCAAACTAAGTGTAAATAGCAAAATAATATGCAGTGCCATCCTAACAAAAAATGAAGCCTAACGTAATTGTGAACCAATATAAAATGTCCAGTAAGATTTAACAAACTAAAATATAGTTGCAGTAACAATACTATGTTGAAATATAATCTCATAGATGATAATTGATAAATATATCCATGCAAAAATGTGTATCTTAGCGTATAATTGTTGATTTGACTTGTGTTTAAAATATGAAAACTTGCGCTAGATAATAATACAGAAAAACTTATGATGACCCAAAACTAGAACCTATTTCTGGAAATCATATACAGTGCAGGATTCCATCATCTGAACAAGACTAGGAATCCATCAGAAAAAAATCCAAACCAAACCAAAACAAGAAATATCTGAACTCTACATCAAACAACCAAACTTCCAAGGGCATAAACATATACACCAGAATATATGGACCACATATAATCCAAGACACTTAAGAACGAAGTTGTAATATGATCTTAAGGGTTATATAAACAGACAGTACTTTCAATTGTCTTAAACTTACAGATATTTTCTCTGCAATTGAATCCCTTTCTGCTTCGGACAAAGCACGGAATGCCCTTCCTTCTATAAGAGTTGGCTCAGTGGCAACAACATTTGGTTCAAGTATCCCACACTCCAAGGCTATGGCTTTGGCTGTTTGAATATTGTCGCCAGTCACCATCCGCACCTATTTATTAACAGAACATTCATCAATCATCTCTGGTTATAAACCAGAAAAACTCAGAAACTGGAAAGCATTCCTTGTCAATTTCAGATGAAAAGATTGAATAATCGTTTGTACAAAGCACTAACATTGTTTGATATAAGATGAACAATAAAGTACGAAAAACTAATCCAGAACTAAGAAGACATTAACATGAAACAGCATGATTCCCCTTTCTATGCCATTTTTCACTGATACCTTCCAAGTTTCTTTAACGGCCCCTCGATCATAAAACTTCTATATATAACTTTTCCTAGAATACAAATCACGCTCATCAATATAGTATTGTACATTTGGTCAAAAAGACAGTCTAGAATAGGAGTCAAATGAGGGAAATAAACCAAAAATTTCCCTTGAAAGTAGCTATTGATGCTCATCTTTTTGCAAATATGAGTTCTTTTTAATACTATTTAAGAATAAGCTAACTAAATTCTACCTTTCAACAAAACCTGTAAGATGATGATGTCCTACACTTGAAAATCTTCTTCTCGAATATCAATAAACAAGCAATGTTTTCACACATAAAACTTTCAAAAGCATGCATGAGTGAAGAAATGTGCATCCTTCTCCAAATAACTGACCTCAAACAGTGGCCACATAACAGTGTAAACGGGGAACAGTTTTCCAACTACAAACACAGATCTTCTTAAAAAGAAAAATAAATAATAATGCACAATATTCTAATAGGGAAAATATTTTACTCATGTGTTTCACATCTTGAAATATGATGTCATATACTTTTACTTCTTTATTTTTGTTTGATGTAATAGATTGCCAGAGTTGTAGTGTTGTACCTTAACACCCGCATTGGTGCATAGTTCCACTGCCTCTTTTACTCCCGGACGGCAAGGATCCTAATAGCAGAATGATTAATTTACAACGATTTTAAGAGGGGAAAAAAGCAGTCACAATAACTTAAAAGCAGAATATAGTAGTTAAAAGGCAACCAATTTCCTACTATTGAGTATAATCCACTGTATAATCCTTTGAAAATGAAATGTAGGGGAACTAGTTATATTCAAAAAAATCATCAATATATATCAGAAATAGGGTAGTAGAAACACCAAGGGCCACTTTCGCCATAAGCCAATAAAAATATTAATCAAGTAGCACCTCAAACATCAAGTAGACGATTTCCACAAGTCCAAAAAAAACTTCCTACAACCAATAGCTGGATAGCTACCTTGGTTCTAATAAATATCATCTATATAAAATTTGCGCAGAGTAAATAATTTTGGACATCTTATGGTCTAAAGAATGTGGTAAACGACTTAACCATCAGTAATATGTCAAAAAATGAAATAGTACATGTTTTGTACCATTGGAAGTTGTGTGATGCTGACTCTATGTCAAATATTTAAACATGTATTTCCCATATTGTTCCAAAGATCCATGAGTTCCTCCAATTAGTCTGCTGACTTACCGTGATTTTTCATTTCTTGAATAAATAAGATTGATTCATGTAATTATTATATCAGCAAGAGTGTATAATGTGGCAAATAGTCATAATAAGAAAATTATAGTCTACGTCAAAAGTTATCCAAATAAAGATAGACTAAGGGCAACATCAATAACAAACGAACATCATATTCTCTTCTAATCACGTACCTTTATGCCCACTATACCAAGCAGAATCAGTTCATCCTCCGGCAGATTCCAGCTATCTCTACTTCCAACATCAGGAACCTCTCCCAGGTCGTATAACCTGTATGCAAATGCAACACAGCGTAGGCTAGCTTCTGCCATATCTTTAATTGACTTCTTAAAGTAGTTAATCTGCAAAGACAATGAATATTAACTTCTGTTCGGTTCAATTCCTGAGGCAAAAATGAAGCTGTACCTTGTCAGCGGTCATTTCTTGAACCAAGCCATCAGTGTCAAGCCAGAATGTACATAATGCCAGGACCAACTCAGCAGCCCCTTTCCAGTGGATATGAGTCTTTCCGTCCACCTGATGAAATTAGGCAAAGAATAAAAGTATTAGTCAAGAAATTATTAGCAGAAGGTACATTATTGAGTAGTTTAGATCTAAAAAAATATAGCAATCTATAGTATGAGGGACAAACGCAATCTGAATGAAGAAAATACATGATAACAAGAACGATTATGGTAAATGGCAGCCAACAAAAGAGAGAAGCCAATAATACTGCAATCCTTTTTAATAGATAAAAGAAGACAATGGTATTTTCCAAATAATTTTATATAAATGCACCTCTTATCAGCACAGAATAGCTGGAATGATGAAATACAAGATGTTAATATGGCAGTTCAAGCAATAAATATGGACTGCTGACGTCGCTCCTTTCTCTTTTTCCTTGGATGACAGAATAGGCCTATAGAAGCATTCCCGTGCAAAATGTTTGTACTTAACATCAACTGATTAATTGCATTTTAGAAAACAAAAGGAGCCATAGGAGACAATTTTAATCTACCTTTCTAACAACTTGTTGGAGAGCAAGTTGATAAGGGTTAACCATCACCAAACTCTGAAGAGGTCATAAATTCAAGATCTGTGTGAAAGAAGCAAAAGAGTTTCCTACCACTAAATAAAGGGTGCAGACTTTCCCACCTTTACCCTAACAAAAATAGTTACTTTGATGAACTCTTGAAGTTACGAGCTCCAATCCGTAACCTTGAACGAAATTATAATTTAAAAAAGAATTCCTAATAGTGTGTGTGTGTGTGTGTGTGTGTGTGTGTGTGTGTGTGTGTGTGTGTGTGTGTGTGTGTGTGTGTGTGTGTGTGTGTGTGTGTGTGTGTGTGTGTGTGTGTGTGTGTGTGTGTGTGTGTGTGTGTGTGTGTGTGTGTGTGTGTGTGTGTGTGTGTGTGTGTGTGTGTGTGTGTGTGTGTGTGTGTGTGTGTGTGTGTGTGTGTGTGTGTGTGTGTGTGTGTGTGTGTGTGTGTGTGTGTGTGTGTGTGTGTGTGTGTGTGTGTGTGTGTGTGTGTGTGTGTGTGTGTGTGTGTGTGTGTGTGTGTGTGTGTGTGTGTGTGTGTGTGTGTGTGTGTGTGTGTGTGTGTGTGTGTGTGTGTGTGTGTGTGTGTGTGTGTGTGTGTGTGTGTGTGTGTGTGTGTGTGTGTGTGTGTGTGTGTGTGTGTGTGTGTGTGTGTGTGTGTGTGTGTGTGTGTGTGTGTGTGTGTGTGTGTGTGTGTGTGTGTGTGTGTGTGTGTGTGTGTGTGTGTGTGTGTGTGTGTGTGTGTGTGTGTGTGTGTGTGTGTGTGTGTGTGTGTGTGTGTGTGTGTGTGTGTGTGTGTGTGTGTGTGTGTGTGTGTGTGTGTGTGTGTGTGTGTGTGTGTGTGTGTGTGTGTGTGTGTGTGTGTGTGTGTGTGTGTGTGTGTGTGTGTGTGTGTGTGTGTGTGTGTGTGTGTGTGTGTGTGTGTGTGTGTGTGTGTGTGTGTGTGTGTGTGTGTGTGTGTGTGTGTGTGTGTGTGTGTGTGTGTCTTTCTTTGTGTGTGTGTGTGTGTGTGTGTGTGTGTGTGTGTGTGTGTGTGTATATATATATGCATTTTACCTATTAAGACTTGATGAGTCACCATTTATAGCTGCACAAGCTTAAATTGTCCTCCTTTGTAAAGTGATTGTCACATTTATATTTAAAGTCCATCTACCTATTGCAAATGCCTGGGCTAGAAATTCAACACATACACAGGGTTGAGACAAAAGTTGACAATTCTATATAAAGTGGTCAAGAATTTGAAGATCCATTTCCAACTCGAATTCATGATCCTTTTGTCCGCCTTTTTGGTTATTTAAGTTTTTATGACCATGTTTATTAATGTGATACAGTCTGATATGAAAAGAAAACAAAGAGTACCATTCGTGTCGATATATTGACCTGTATTCACAATTCAGTTCTGCCTGAAATTGATTACGTAATTTCTCATATAATTGCAGTTAAATGTGGCTTCACTTATACGTGCAGTAAACTTTTTCTGCTGAATCGACATTCAATTAGAACTTAAAAAGAACAATGAATTTGTTGCTGGTAATATAAAATATAACCTTACGGTTTCTGAATAACACAAGGAGGAAAAAAAGTTATTTGTATTCAGTAATATCACTTTTATATTTGTTAACTCCGTGGATGAGCTTCACTCGGTATAAGTAGAAATAGCTCTGCAAGAAGTCGAAATTAAAGAAGATAACTAGGAATGTTCCCCCGCATAAGACAACATATAGCCCCTCCTCTTGCGTAAATAAATTTAAAATAAAGAATTGACGAATTAATAAGCCAAGGGATAATAAAAAATCAATACGTATTAATTTGAAGAGGAAATGAGATGACATAAATGGCAAGATAAATCTATCAAGTCCAACATAAATATCTTTCAACATTGATATCTTGTCAAACCCATGTGTTTTATATTCTATGATATGATCTCATGACTCAATCGTCATATAATCACATTCTTTTTAAAATGATAAAGCTTCACCCTCTCTAGTCTGTCAAAAAAAATTCCCCAACGAATGTAATGTCTTACACGTTTTTCCTAATAAATGGAATATAACTTACACAATTATCATCAGGTGTGATCCATCATGCATCTAGCTTCAACCACCATTCTACCGATTAATCATGATCGTCTAAAAGTAAGACAGGTTGTTCCACTTACATCAATTCATTAGAGAATAGTATGGCAAGGATATCTGTTAAATAGCTACACAAGGTTATCGATAGCGGATAGCGTCGCGTAACGGTAAGGTGTTGCTAAGGCTATTTAGGGCTATTGTGGCAAAATAATGGTAAAAAGCGCAAAGTCAAATAGCGGTCAAATTTAGATATGTATAAACATTCAAAAAAAATAAAGAATAATCTACAAAATCTAAAACTGCATATTTGATGATCTATCGAGATCCTAAACATAAAATAGACATGTAACCGTCACATAATACCGAAGACGACTGGAGTAGTAGTCAAAGCGTTGTCGTCTTCGAGAAGATGAGCTGAGCGATGAGAGGACTGCAGTGGGAGGAGCTCATGGCCAGAGGAGGTGACAGGAAGTGCTGAGGGAGGTGTCGGAGGTTGTGGGAGGCGACGGGAATACGCTAGATAACGCAGGAGGCGGTGGGATGCGGTGGTTGCGGGTCGAGTTTAATTTTAAAAAAATAAACCTCAAACCGCTTTTAAATAACGGACAAAAAGCGGATTTTGCCCACAAACGTGAGCTATTCACCGATATGGCACGCTATAGGCCTGTTTTTGTGAGCGAAAAGCGCATATTCCGCAATATGTCACCGCTATTGAGTGATAGCGTAGCATGAAGGGACCACTAACGCTATTAGCGTCACAATAGCGGCGCTATTTACCATTATTTATAACAGTGTAGCTACATCATAGCATATGAGCTAGACATTAAGATAGTTGAAGATATGAAAATGGTCATGAGAAGAAATTGTAAGACTAAAATATTGGAGCAAGTGCATTTCAAAGGTGTATAAGATGTTATTACCGATTGTATTGCAACACCACCGCGCTTTTTGTCAGAGTTGAAGGGGATGAGAGAAAGCACAGAAGCTTTTGATCTGACATCAGTAAATTTCATTCCCATCTATGAAATGACACCAATTCTTTGCTCAGCAGTCAGAAAAGGGGATCAATTAATCAACCCAAAAAAAAACATAACTCTCATACCTTCACCCCCCAAGAGAGAATAGCCTTTTCAGTAGGTGAGCCAGTTACCTCGATAGCTCCACCATCCTATTGACAGAAGAGATGCCTCCCATATTAAGCAATAATCATCTACTTTAAAATAAATGAAAACATTGGGATAAAAAGCAACTGAAAAAGAAAACAAAAACACAACTCCTCATACTAGTATAGCCGTTATCGCTTAAAAAAACTTATGAGTATTTGGTAAACCAAAAGGGACAATAACATGAGTACAAATGACAACTAGACAATGAAGTGCACAAAAAGCATAGCCAATAATGACAATTAATTAATTCCAGTGGACGGAAACCTAACCTGAGGCTCAAAGATGTCCCCAGTAGTATTGTGTGCAATGCCTTCAACTAATAGAGATGATGCAGCAGGAGACAACTGTTCTGGACGATCTATCTTCATTCCACCAACATAAGCGGACACAACCGACATCTATAAAAATCAGATATTTAGCATTAAAAAACAGGTCAATGTGTCCGAAATACACAACAGCATCGAAACATGGAAAATCAAACTTGTTAGCTACAAAGGTCAATAGAATCATATATCTTAAAGATAGCTGAACAATAAAACGTGGGTCACAAATTTTAGAATACAAAACATTAGTAAAGTTGCATCTGAAACGTTACAAATTCTATTACTTGATTCATAGTGAGAGTTCCTGTCTTATCACTGCAGATTGTTGTTGCTGAGCCCATTGTTTCACAGGAAGAGAGCCTTCGCACCTGTCATGTAAATAGACTGATTTAGCACCTATCATTAAAATAAACATATTAGATTTTGTGACTAACAAAACCCAAGTATTAATCAAAGATACATGCCAGAGCTTTGTCTTGCATCATCTTTCGCATTGAGTATGCAAGTCTACAATGAAAATAAATAAAGTTATGAAAAAGAATAAGCAGATTTAAACTTCTAGAAATCTTAAATTATAAATAAGCAAAGCGAAACATTAGAAATCTTTAAGATGTGATGCATCATTACGTCAAGGTTACAGCTAATGGAAGCCCTTCCGGAACAGCAACAACCACAATGGTCACCTAGCAACAGTTAATAAAGCATAAGCTATATCAAAGAAAGCACAAATTTGCTATCTCAAATGTAAATACATACTGCAATTGTCAGCATCTTAACGGCTCCATTTAATGCAGCCTTTAAACTTGTCACTCCCTTTTTAAATTGAACACTTCCATCAGGATTTGTTGTATTCCCAGTAAAGTACCTATACATGCAATAAAGGATATTTTAATAGATGTAAGCAAGAGAATGCGTAATAACGTTCAAGTTCACGCACTCCACCTGACATAGAGAACAAGAAGAACAACAGCAGCAACTGTGAGCCCTACTGTGCCAATTAAAGTGGCAACTCCATTCAGGCGAACCTATTAAGCATGAAACATCAATTTCAAAACTGGGAAGGGAGAAAACATAAGCCATATAAGTGATGTGAGAAAATCTAATACCTGTAAGGGAGTTTCTCCGCCATTGTCCTCTGATAGGTTGGCCATTAATAAACCCCACTCGGTGTTAACTCCAACAGCAGTAACCTGCGCAAAAATTTGTTTAAAGATAAAGCGTCTAGTTTAAAGACTAATAAAACAAAAAGCATGAAAGATGAGCAACATTAAGTAAGATTATACTTTTACTAGTAGAAAGAAAACACATCACACAAATGTATCAATAAATCACCTCACAACTACTGGCATATGTTCCCCTAACTTGTAATTATAACAAGCACTATCTCCTTTTGTCTAATAGATCACAGATCAAAGAAGCTATCTAAGTTTTGATAGGTTAGTGGTCAATTTTTATCAAGTCCTCATTTGAACTTCATCCAATGTAGTTCCATTTCGGAGCCTACCTTTTTTTCTCATTCAAACTAATTTCAGACTCTTATTTTTTGGGGGCTTCTAAATACTCAAAAGTCAGCACAAAGATACACTGCTATTCCATCCTCATTTCAAACTGGCATACAACATAGTGACCTCTTAAATGATAGCCCTGGGTGCACTAAACATAACAGTTTGTCCATCTCTTACAACCTCAATTAGGCATCACACAATGCTTGGAGATCAGGACCCAGGTGTGATACCCCCAAAATTCTTTCCTACTATATTATTTGAGTATGATGATTTCTAAGTCACATAAATAATTGTAACAAATTTTTTTAACAGTTATATGGATTTCTATCATGTATTTGTTATTTTTGGAAGAATTTTTCCATCAGTAATAAGTTAATTAGTCATTATTAGACTAATCTTATAGTTAGACTTAGACTTGAGTGCGACCAGATGGCTGGCTCATGGTGGCATAGCTGCATAAGGGTGGAGGTGTGTCCTGACCATTAGCCTTAATCTCATTAGATACTAACCATGTTTGGTTATAAACGGCTAACATTAGTCAAAGGAGGCAAATAATGGATGGTGAAAAAGCCTAAGTAAGCCTTGGTTCTCTCCTACATATTACCTTCTTCCATGCTTGTTCAGTTTGTAAAAAACATAGAAATTGGAAAGATAAAAGGTAAGCCGAACCCTAAATGCATTTGAATATATATAATGAAATAATGAGAAAGAGGGAAGCCTCTCTCTCTCTCTCTCTCCCCCTCTCTCTCTCCCTCTCCCTCTCCCTCCTATTTCTTGCTTCAAAATGATAGTTACAAATTAGAGAAAATTATAGGAAGAAAGGAAAGAGATAGATGAAGATATTTCAAATGTTTAATTAATAGGAGTTGTCTTGGAAGAGTTTAACAAGTTAATATGTTCATAATGTTCTATTGTTTTGAGTTGTATACTTCATGCATGGATGTTCTTAAGAAAATAAATAAATGATTTCTTTACTCATAAGTCATGAACATGGTAGTATTGTGTGAAATTTTGTATTATTTTCATTAAGATGGTAGAGATTACTCTTAAGATCAAAGAATGGACTATGGGTGGGATTTTGCCATTTTGGAAACACTTCGTGAAGGTAACTCTTGTCTCGCAATGAACTGTTCATGCAAATAAATAAATATCAATTTGATGTTACGACACCTACAAGTTTTTTTCAAGAAAATTTTGATATTTTATGTTGACGGAATTAGCCTTGAAAAAGAAGATGGTGAGGTAGACTCCATTTATAGATAAACATGAATACATATCTTTTGTGAATTGTTATTAAATTGATAACAATAAGGAAAAAACAGTCCTTCGCTGCGTTGCTGGTCTCTGGATAGATACAATTATTTGGAGATTTTTAATGATTATCTTCATGAGCAAATGTGCATTAAAATGAATAGGATCTTGAGTTTTGCCTATTGGACATTTCTCGTAAGTATACCATTCTTGAAATGCTATTAAAGGCCTTTCCGCAGGAAGCAAGAAACTTGTTTTACAATTATAATCAACCTGCAATCAGCATAAATTCAACAGCAGCAGGCGGCACATTACTTGAGAAAGCCATCTACAATCTACAGTTCTTATATGATTTATGAAAGTTGCATTTGTACAGATTGTACTAGAAGCTTCTTGCCTTAAGTCTCATCCAGGGCCTGGACTAGCGGACAATGTCTATGCCCTAGTACAGGCCCAGAAGTACCATATAAAACTTTGAATATATAACAATACAAATTGGATAAGGTTTTCAGCAAATCCCTGTTCAACATTCAGAGAATGATAGAAGTTTCAATCTAAATTATTGTGTATTATGCCAGAAGCATTCATCTACTAGCAGTTAGTCTTATAGAAATCTGGTTCGTCTCATAGCAATCTGGTTCAATGATTAGAACAACTTACCAACATGATACCGTAACCGTCAACTAACTTGCATCCAGATATAAAAAATGGTGCCTTTTCATCCTTGTGAACCTGAAAAAAGAAAATCATAAATTTGTAATTTATTTGCATCTTAGAATTAATTGACAAAAGGATTTTCATAAGAAAACAAATCTCACATGCTTGCTTTCTCCAGTCATGCTGGATTCATCAACAGAAATGGAATGGCCTGAA